AGGTGTCAATGCTGTGGTTCTGGTGGTGCAAGGTCACTCTGATAACCTTAAGTAGGACCCTATTATAATCAGGCGGTCTGTCGAGGTACAGCACTTCAGTGGTGGTACTGACCAAACAGCTCTCTTCTTTGGCTGTTTCTTTCTCTTCTCGAGTATTCACATCATGGAGGACCTGGAGGTGTTTGCCCTGACAGAGTCCACAAAGCTTCCGGAGGTCACACTGAGCTGCATGGTGAGATTGTGCACAACGCCAGCATCTGTTATGTGTCCTGATCCAATTAGACAGTTGGTCTTTGGCCAGCTCTTGTATAGCAGAGCACTGGCTGAGATAGTGCTGCGTATTTTCGCAGTAAGGGCAGTATGGCTTTGCTTTACCTTGCTTCTTATTGTGGAGACTGGGGGATGCTGAATTGTCCTTAGATCCATGCAGGATGGTAGTGACTCTCCTCTTCTGGCCAGGCTTGTCTCTGACTCCTGAGCTCGGAAGTTGGTTGTCGTAGTCATGACACCAGGCCTGGTATTGTAGCCATTCAGAGAAATCCACTAAAGTGTAAACTGTGTTTGGATTGCGGAACATGGCTCGCCTGAAGTCTGCCCTCTGCTCTGGGGGTAACTTACTCAGCAAACGGGTTACATGAGACCCACACTTCAGTTCTGCATCACCCTCTGGGCCCAGAGTCCTAAGCATGCCTACTAAGGAGCGCACCTGAAGAGCAAACTTCTCAAAGGCTGCTATATCCCCTCGACGAACATCTGGTGAATCCATAACACTGGCGATTCTATTCAGGGCAATCTGGTGTGGCTGACCGAACTTCTCATTCAGGGCTGTTATGGTATCGGTGTATGGGGTTGTGGAATGAAGGTAAGAATCTGCAACAAGCCTGGCTTCTTCCAGCTTGAGGTGGTCTACTAAAATCTGGTATTTGAACAGCTCGGTGCCATCTGGGGGTAAAAGGTTTGTCAGGGCTATCTTCAGACGTGCAAATTGACTGGGGTCACGATGACTGAAGTAGGGGATGCTTGGTCTTGGCCCTCTGTATGTTGGCTCTGGGAAGGCTATAGGATTATAGAGGGGTTGAGGGGTTGAGGTCGATGCTGACCACTTTGTTTCTGGTGCCCTGTGATCAGTTGCATGGGTGATTATGTTCTGGGGAAAAGGTGACATGCCGTGGCCAAATGGAACTGGTTCAGAGGGATGATATGGCATCTGTGGTGTGGCATTCAGCCACACCACATTCTGCCCCAGTCTCTTAGGCTGAGCCTGTTCTGTTTGATCCTCCCAAGGTTTTGGCGACATATTAACTGCTGGCAGAGTGGCTGTCGATGGATCCTTCATGACTCTAAGCTCAGTCATCAATTTCTCCAGCAGGTTCAGCACAGGTTCTGTGACTGGAGGAGGCTCTTTTGCTTCATCAGTTTCTGGCCATGGAGGGGGGTCAGGCCAGTCATCATCTTCTCCTTCCAGCTCTTCTGGTGGAGGAGGAGGTGGGAGGTACTTGGGAGGACCAGGTCTTGCTTGTGGGGGTGGCCTATGCTCATGTAGCACTGCAGTGTCTAGCAGTCTAGCTGTGACAGGTTGACGTGGTGACTTAGGGTGTTGGACTGATCCCATCAGCTTCCCCATGTTGTCTTTGAGTTCAATCAGTTCTGCACGTAATGCTCTTTGGGACTGCTGTAACTGCATTCTCTCCATACGGATTTCCTCCAACTCTGACAGATAGTGACTGGGGAGTCTGGTAGTCTCTCTAGGGTACACAAAGGGTGTAAATGGGTCTACGCAGCTCTCAAGGGTCTCACGATGCCGTGGATGGGTCTGCGTTCCTAGGTCAGGCTCCATCTAACTGCTGACAGTCTGATCACGGAAGTGATCCTCTTCCTTCGATTTCACGTGCCACGGAGCAGCCTGACTGCTGTGGGTGAGGGGTGTCATCTCGGCAGCTCCCTCCATGTTAGAATGCCATTCTTCATCACTTTCAATCCTTAGCTGTGCTACATTAGGACATTAGGGACAATGGAGCTTGAATCCTCCTGCGCCCATAAGTTGTGTCGTAGTCCTCCAATCGGACAGGTGGGCGGACAGACCTCTTCGGCCTGACTGCTGGCAATATATTTTTTCTGGATTGCATGATTCAATGACAAGTGTCACTTCCGGCTCGAAGGACCAAAATTGTAGCTGAGAAGCCGCAAATAGAAGATACAAAACTGGAGGCTGGGGAGCGAGACACGCGGCCACTGGGGGTCGGCAGAACACAAGGCAAAACAATCCAGAAGATTCCCAAGAACGGCCGGGATGGGCAGCGGGAGGAAGGGGAGAGTGAGGAGGACAGAGGAAGATGGCGCACGTAGTGGAAGGGTGGGGCGGCATACACAAGAGAAAGGAGGAACAAGGACCAGTGGTGATGGGCGTAACACAACTGGGGAACGAGACCAACAGAGGACACCAGGGCACAGAAAACGACGAGTCCAGCCGGGGAGGAGGCGGAAGCGGGCGAGAGAATGTAAACTGATGGAGGCACGGGCACGGAAAGGGCAAGGAAGGAAAACCTGCATGCCAAGTGCAACCCCTGAAGGGGATGAAGTGAACAGCAGCGGAAGCGCAGAACACGAAGGGAAACAAGAGAGTGGCAGACGGGCCGAGAGCGGAAAGAGGAGAGAGAACAGCAAAACCATAGGTGCAATGAAGAGAGAGGGAAGAACAAGACAGGAAGAAATGACCAGGCGCGAGTGATGGACAGGAGATAGACAGATAGCGAGCAGACAGGCAAATAGCCAAGCGAAGCAATGGGAAGGAAGGAGAAAAGCTGTGGCGCCACAGCATGGGAAAGACCGGAAAGAAGTGAACAAAACCAAATGTATGAGGAAGACGCGGACAAGAGGGCAAGACGCAGGAAGGAAGGGGGAGGAAGGAGGGAGCGCCGGGGCGCGAGGACGTGCGCCGGCCCTAGGCAGCGAGGTGAAGCGATAAGGTGGAAGGGGCACGGAGGGATAAACGCGGCTGGGAGGGGCGGGAAGGACGAGAAAGGCGCGAGTACAGAGGACAGGCCAGGACGCAGACCGAGATGACACAGGAATGGGGGACAACGCCACAGCGCGGGCAAGCGGGGCATGAAACGAGCACACGGCAACGGGGCGCGCGGCCCGCGTCCGGCAACCGCGCGGGCCGCCCGCCCCGGGGGAGAGAGAGGAAAGGGAAAGGCAGAGGCACCAGCGGTGCCGGGAAGTGCACAAGCGGACAAAGCGGGGAGGTCCCAAGGAAGGTGGAAAGGGAAAGGGAAAGGACCGGGACGGGGAGAGCGCCGGGCGAGGCGCCGAACCACGCAAAGCGCGGGGGGACACGGACGGGTGCCAACAGGCACCCGGCCCACCACACAGGCAAACGGCAAGGGGAGGGCAAAAGGCCAGCGAACAGAAACGAAAACGCAGTGCAGACACAGGCCACCACAGGCAGGCGGCGGGGAAGACGGAAGATGCAGCGGGGGTGGCGAGGGGGAGACAGCGAGCGCCGAAGGCCAAGGGCGAGGACCAGGGGCGGGAGGGCGAGCGACGAGGGGAGGAAGGGTACTACTCGCCGACCGCAGGGCTAGGGTGGGACAGTGATGTCTGTGGATAAGTGTACCGGCAGTAAAATGATACAACTAGAATGTGACTCACGCGAGCGATATAGACTGGTGGATGTGCGGGTGAGCATAT